AGCTTCCTATGTAGCTGGGATGACAGGCATGAGCAACTACACTTGGCAAAGGAGTAGTTTTATGTGTAATTAAAGGTGATGTCAATTAAATGTAGATTGTCAAAATTTGCACATGCCATATAGCTATAGATATAGAAAGGTATAGCTATAGATATAGAAAGATAATTGCTGGGGGCTGGGAAGGTGGCTCAGTGGTAGAGCGCTTGCCTTGCATGTATGAGGCCCTGGGTTGGGTTCCTCAGCACCATATAAGCAAAAAGAAAAAAAAAATCCAGAAGTGGTGCTGTGGCTCAGGTGGTAGAGTGCTAGCCTTGAGCTGAAGAGCTGAGGGACAGCGCCCAGGCCCAGAATTCAGGCCTCACGACTGGACCCCCCCCCCAAAAAAAAGATAATTGCTACAGACTATATACAAAAGGAAAAAAATTACCACTAAACAAACACAAAGTAATAGAGGAAATGACAGACAAAAACAAAACAAAACCCTGTTATACAAAGAATATACTACCCAATCGGTCATTTAAATGTAAATGAATGGAATTCTTGAATCAAACATTGCATTCATGCAACAGAGAAAGGACAGCTTCAATAAATGGTGCAGGGAAAACAGGTTGTCTACTTGCAGTAGACTGAAACTGGATCTGTACCTCTCATTGTATTAAAAAATGAACTTCAATTGGGTCAAAGAGCTCAAAGTAAGACGAAACTAAATCTACTGCAGGAAATGTAGGGAAAACCCTGGAAGTTAGAGATACAAGTATGTATTTTTTTCTGAATAGCACTCCAGATGCCCAGAGGATGGGAGTGAGAATTGACAAATGGACTATGTTAATTTAACTAACTACCAGAACCAGAAAGTGACTCATAGAATGGATTAATATCCAAAATATAAAAAAGCTCAAAAAATTAAACAGAGAACAAATAATCCAATTAGTAAATTGGTAAGTGAACTGAACAGTTCTTAGAAGGAAAAATACAAATGACTAATAGATACATGAAGAAATGTTCGTATCTTTAGCAAAAGGAAACTTCAGTAAAAACTACTCTGAGTCTTATCTTAACCCCAGTCCAAATGGCAGCCACCAAAAAAGCAAACAACAAATGCCAGTGAGGATGGGGGGTTTAAAATATGAAGATATAAATGTTTCTTAGATGACAAACTGTCACAATGTTCTAAGTATTTTCATGATCCAATTTAGATGTATTAACTGTAAGTACATCCTCACTTTTTACATAATATTGAGATACTGAAAAATGTAGTGATAGAGTGGTTCCCAAGTTTTGCCATATTCAGTGCTTACCAGGGGAAAAACTTGTTGAGACTGATGGTGATGTTTGGGAGATATACTGATACAGAAGCAGCAAGCATGGTCAGTCTAAGATTCCACTTATTGATCTGTGGAAAGCAGTAAGCATTGTAAGTATTTTACATTGAGGAGAGAGCAGCCTAGTAAGGTAGAAATCCAATCTTGGCATTAATAATGAGAAGAGGGCTGGAAGCATGGCTCACATGATAGAGCACCTGCTTAGCAATCACAAGGTACTGGTTTTAAGCAGTACCACATAATAATGAAACAAAGTAACTTTTACATGTAAACTACATAGAAGGGGGTTTGGAATATTAGCAAAGTACTCAGTAAATACTAATATACAACCAAAAAGGACTAGTTTTCACTGGCATGATTATAAATGATATTGCATTGATGCAAAGAAACAATGAACAGTTTTGGAAATTAAAATATTGTTACAGTTTTTTTTAAAAGCTCACTAATCAGGATAGCATAGATATTACAGAAAACTAATGCTTTTGCATAGTAACATAATAAATACCAAGTTACATCAGACAAGTTCATAATCTTTTCAGATGGAACTTTTCTAGAAATTGAGGCCACATAGGGTGTTTGATCACTACATTTTGACAAATACAAGAATTAACTGTCCATATGAAATAGTATTATATAATATTCACTCAGTAGAGTTAGAAATTCATTTTGAGAAGAGTAGAAACATCCTTGTAAAGTACAAATTCCTACATGAATTCATAGTTAATAGTGAAGTAATATCACTTATTAATGTTAATATATTAGTATTTCCTGGCAAAATACACTTTAAATTCATATATTTTGCATCATAGACAGTCTATTCTAGGAGACAGCACAATAATCCAGTTGGTACAACAATTCTTGACGGAAGTATAATCTGCCCATTGGTGATTATATAATCTAAGTGTCCACATACAAAAGAACAAAGATGGAAATTTTAATGCTTGCTTTCATGAAGCAGTGAATGAGTTCTAGTGAGAAATTCCAAGACTTTAAGTCCCAGGACTGGCACCAAAAAAAAATAGAAAATCATATTGATGAGTTGTAAAGAAATTAGAACTGTTAAAAAAAAAAAAAAGAAGAAGCCGGGCGCTGGTGGCTCACGCCTGTAATCCTAGCTACTCAGGAGGCTGAGATCTGAGGATCATGGTTCAAAGCCAGCCCGGGCAGGAGAGACCGTGAGACTCCTATCTCCCTTAAACCACCAGAAAACCGGAAGTGGCGCTGTAGCTCAAGTGGTAGAGCACTCGCCTTGAGCTGAAGAGCTGAGGGACAGCGCCCAGGCCCAGAGTTCAAGCCCCACGGCCCACAAAAAAAGAAAAAAAGAAAAGAAATTACAGCTCTTACATATTAATGGAGGGACTATGGAATAAGGACATTGTAGAAATAATTTTGGAAATTCTTCAAACAGTGAAATGAACTTGACATGCACCCAAAAGAGTTGAAAACATGCATAAAAGAAAAACTTGTTCACAATAGAAAAAATAATTTTCACAGATATTCATAATAGGAATTTTTTTTAAAGAATGAGTTGTTACCTACCTTAATTTGAGTGAACTTTGAGAACATATGGGGTGACAGAAGAAACAAAAAGACCATCTATTTATATTAAATGTCCCAAATAAGTAAATCTATACAGACAGAAAGTTGCTTTCTAATTATGGAGGACTCTAAGGAAGAGCATAATAGATACAAGACTTATTTGGGAGTTTATAAGTAATATTCTTGAGTTGGAGAATGGCGGCAGTTGTAACAACATGATAAATAACAGAAAAGTACACCTGACAGTAGTGAATTTATGATATGTAAAATACATCTAAATGAAAAATATCATATAAAAATAATGCTAGGTCTGTGGAAATAGCATTTTACATATTGTTGAATATTACTAAGTTGTCCACCATTGAGAAGATACCGTTTTCACTCTTTTTTCAAGCTGCAAATAAAAGTACCTGTTTTTCTCATATTGTGTTGTGGTATATGATTTAAAAAATTTTTGGTCTTTACCTATTTACTATTGAAAGATAATGATCTAGGAAAGTATGTAATGTCTAAAACATAGGAAAGGAACCGGGGTGCTGGTGGCTCACGCCTGTAATTCTAGCTACTCAGGAGGCTGAGATCTGAGGATCGTGGTTCAAAGCCAGCCCGGGCAGGAAAATCCATGAGACTCTTATCTCCAATAAACCACCAGAAAACCGGAAGTGGCACACTGTGGCTCAAATGGTAGAGCACTTTCCTAGAGCTGAAGAGCTGAGGGACAGCACCCAGGGCCAGAGTTCAAGCCCCATGACTGACAAAAAAAAAAAAAAAAGATAGGAAAGGAGGGTGGTAGACATTTTTTTTTTGTTATTTATTTAAACACTACTTAAATTCCTTTAGCTTTGAACTTTGATTCTTATCCATTGTGTAAAGGTCTTTTTTCTTCCTGATGTGTAGGGTTTTAAGTTTTTTGTTTTTTAATTAATAGTATGTTTTTACTATGAATGTTATAGCAATGCTCCATTTTTGTGGAGCAACATAGCTAAAACTTAGGGATTTGAAAAAAAAAAAACTTAGGAATTTGAAGTAGAAGAGATCATTTAAGGCAAGCCTTTGTACCTCAGTACAGAGAAATTGTAAGGTTTTAAACAAAACAGTGGCATCAAGTTTATGTTTTCAAAGACCACACTTACACTTCTGGATGGAGAGATGAAGAGATTACTTAGAAAAGAAATTGAGAGAACAGAAAACAATCTATGGCCAGAGCCTAGACCAGTAGAAAGATTGAGAAAAACTGGTAAATTCTGGATATGTATAAAGGTAGAATTGGTGTGCAGATAATGGAGATGAGTCAGTAAAATATAATGGGACTTAGGAGTGTAGAGCACTTGGCTAGTATGCATTAGGCTCTCTCTAGTTTGATCTCAGCACTGCCACCCCTACCCCACTCCTCATATATATATATATATATATATATAATTTACTTTGCATGGACTCAAATATGGGTGGGTCAGTAGGAGTTAGATTTATAAGCAGTGACACATACACAACTATATAGTATTTTGAAAACACTACACTCAGTAGCTCATTTGTTTTGTTAATTTAAACTGAAACATGTTGATAATTGAAATATTTTCTAAATTCTGTTTTAATTTTTTGGAAATAGGCCTTAATGGACATTCAGAAGTACTGAGATTGCCTAAAATCCTCACACACAAACAGCCCTTTCCCTCACCTCCCAAACTAAACATTATCCCAGGGACTTAATTTTAAGGAATAAGGTAGAAATTGTAAAAATGTCTTGAAAAGTAAATTGTCAAGTCCTGTGATTAAAATTTTGTCTGCATGAATGTGTAAAGCTCAACATTTTATTTAATGAAAAGTGAAGAGAATTTGTAAAACTTGCCAGATAAAATACATTTACAGAAATTACTTATTACTTTTGAAGTAGAGGTTAGTACACATTGTATAACTGATGAGAAATAAAAAAAATATTTAAAGCTGGTACAAATACATTCAGTAAGTTCTCACATAATTTGTTATAATTGACATGAACATCATTGTCTATAATTTAATGGGTTTTCTTTCTACCTAGGATGTTTCCAAAATTCAGTTTTTAGTGCTAATCTTTAAAACAGATTTATAAGAACTGATATGTTAGTTATTCAGGGAAAATAGAAATCTGTCTTTATTTTTCAGAAGTGGCTGGATCCAAACAAACCAATAAGGAAGCAGCTAAAGAGTGAGCATACATATTTATTTGATGTTTTTAAAATGTGCCTTTTAAATACAAAGGACTAATATAAACTAATTAATTAGAACTACTTTTATTAATTTTAGGAGGATCTCCTTACAGTTTGAACTTTAGAGTCAAATTTTTTGTAAGTGACCCCAACAAGTTACAAGAAGAGTATACAAGGTGGGTTTTTGGAGCACGTTTCTCTGCAACACATTGTCAAAACACTAATAGTAAAATTTAAATTCAACTGTTTCTTCCTCTTTTGTAGTACTTGGGAGACTTTCTGGGCTTTAGAACCTCAGTATTTCCCCCATCTGGCCAGAGGCAGCCTCCTAAGCCATAGAAATGTTAATTTTTTTTTCTACTTGTGAACAGTGGTCAAAAAGCACTGCTATAATTAATTGAGATAATTAGATGACACTGAAAACTTTTCCAAGGCAAGGTGCATAAGTGAGAATTTTCAATTTTTTTATTGTAAATGCTTATTTTAATTGTTTTTTCTTTTTATTGAGAATATATGCTTTCTACAGCACATAAGTTATGTACGAGAATAGTGATCAGTAGGTACCTTTTAATTTTTTCTTATTTGTTTAAGGAAAACATACAGGACTTTATAAAGGATGTTTCAGGGCATTTACTAGCATATTCTGCCTTTATATGACCACTTTACTGCCCGTTGAAGTCTGATTTTATGTTCCTATCTAATTTTGTTGTCTCTGTAAATTTGGAAAAAGTACACAGAAACGATGTAGATGAGTGTTTTGATACTGTTCTTGAATATTAATGAAATGTTTAGGATTAAAAAGAAAAATGCTGGGGCTGGGAAGGTGGCTCAGTGGTAGAGCACTTGCCTTGCATGCTTGAGGCCCTGGGTTCAATTCCTCAGCACCACATAAGCAGAAAAAAAAAAAAAAA